TCTTTCCACATTCCATGCATTTATGTGGTTTCTCCCCAGAGTGAGATCTTTTGTGTATATGGAGTCCCTTGTTCTGACTGAAACTCTTTCCAAATTCCATACATGGATACAGTTTCTCCCCTGCACATGTTCTTTGATGTCTACTGAGGTCACATGTATTTAATGGGCTTCTCCCCTTCGTCAGTCCTTTCATGGGAAGTCCATTCCTGCCCACTCCTATTTTCAATTCTCTATTTTCTTGCTTGATTATGAGTTCCTGGCCTGGTTGCCCCAGATGTTGCTGGGCAATTCTTCTCCTCCTGTTCATCATCTGGTAGATTAGAAAAAGAAGAGAAACAACCAGTTTCAAAATCTACAGGAATAAGGGATTATGTTTTTGGGCTCCACCTGGGTCACGGAGGAGGAAGGAAAGACAGAGAAAGAGGTGAGGGAAGAGAACCAGGGAGGGGATGAGGCCGGATCGGAGGTTGTTCCTTTCAGCTTGACATTGGAAGGGCTCTTCACTGAGGGACCTTTTCGATGGAGGAATAATGAAGGGAGGATTTTTTCCACACCCAAACAAGTACATAAAATTTAAAGTATATTAACTTTTTATCCTTCTCAAATTCTCCCCAATAATTGTACTTAAGTTTCCAGGAATTTAGAAAGGAATTTCTCAAATTTGATTAAAGAGGAAAGAAATAATTGAATTAAAGGATTGGTTAGCAAAAATCAGTAACAAATGGGGGGAAGAAAAGTGTTAGAAAGGAAAAGTAAAATTGGATCAATGTGATGCAGGTAGATTATTGGACTTGGGAGCTGGTAAAAAGCAGTTAGAGGTAGATGCCAGGAACTAACAAAGTCAGCAGAGATTAATATTCAGAGGGAAAATAGAAAGGACAGGTCCCTGAAAGGGATGGGATGTAGAATTTATAAAATGCTGTTATTGATAGAAAATTTCTGAAAACAGGATAGGAAGCAGAGATGGTCAGTGAATTAGGTACTGAGGTAATCGAATCTTAGAATTTTAGATTAAATTTTGTAATGCCACCCAGAATAGAGCATTGATCTTGATGGGTCGCGTATAAGTCTAATCAATTAATTAATAAAGGGAAGTGTACACCCAACCAGTGGTTCCAGAGTTAGATACCTAAACCAATGTGCATGGAAAGGGGGCGAATGAAAATAAAAGCAAACATTTATACATTGAAATTGAGAAGGTATTTGACCCCAGCGAAATTAAATATTACAATTTCTAAACGCTGCATATTACAGTAATATCTGGGTTTATGAAATCAATGTGTCCTCCAGGACATTACATCAGGCAAAAAAAAAAATACATGAACCAGAACATGGATTGCAGGGAAGCCTCCTTCACAATGCAAAGGAAATGGGGGGAAAAAGGAACCTAAACCGAGGCATTATTTTGACCTGATTTCCGTTTGGAAACCAGAAATTACATAAACTGAGGCGTACATTAACCGAGATCCTAGTGTATCTCAAAGGTAGTGTTCTTGAAAGTGCTACCCTGTTCCACGTACAGAGCCAGCTAGGCAGGCAGAGCTCAAGGGTCTAAACATGTGGATGAGACGATGGTGCCAAAGTCAGGGGGTTTAGATTTATTTGGCACTGGTTAATGTCTTCGGACAAGCCAGGCTTGTGCAAGAGGGATGGGCTTCACTTGAATGAAGACGGAATGAAGACTGCTGTAGGGTAACATTAAAAAGGTGGCAGAGCAGCTTTT